TAGCTGGATCCGTAGATATACCATTTTTATCAATAAAGTGACCCAGATACTCTACCCGTGATGCTGCAAAAGAACATTTACTCTTCTTAGCGTACAGTTTCTGACTCCTCATTGTTTCCAGAACACATTTCAGATGTTGGAGGTGGGCTTCTTCAGAGTCACTATAGACGAGAATATCATAAAAAAAAATCAACACAAACTTCCTCAAGAATTCCCTTAATGTTTCATTCATTAGCCCCTGAAAAGTAGCTGGTGAGTTTGTTAAACCAAAGGGCTTCACCTGATACTCATAATGACCACTATGAGTTTAGAAAGCGGTTTTATGAATATCCTCCACTGCCATCCTCACTTGATGATATACCCTGCTCTTAAGTCCAATTTCGAAAAAATCACTGCGCCACCCAACTCATCCATTAAATCCTCTATCAGGGGAATAGGAAAACCGTCTTTAATAGTGATATTGTTTAACCCTCTGTAGTCGACACAGAGACGCCAAGTACCATCCTTCTTCTTAACCAATATCACTGGAGAAGCAAAGGGACTAGAACTTGGCTGCACAAGACCTTCAGCTAGCATATCCTTTACCAACTTTTTGATGGCATCTTTCTATTCAACTGCGTATCTATAAGGTCTCATGTTTACTGGGTTTGCTCCCTCCATCAGTTGAATTTTATGGTCATGATGTTTGCGGAAAGGAGGCAGTCCCTGTGGTTCTGCAAACACATCAACAAACTCCTCCAATAACATAGAGGTTGATGTTAACTTTGTTGTTTGTGTCTCTTCTGTTGTTATAGCAGATAATAAGCACTCCTCTTCTTCTTCTATTTTCTGAGTAACACACAACATAGACAACTGAATATCTTCCCATTTTAGTTTATTCAGCTTTTCCATTTTAACAGAACGGACTGACTCTGGCTGCACCCCATGAATTTTCACCTTCTTCTTTTCCCAGAGAAACTTCATTGTTAACAGTGTAAAATCCCATGTGATAGGTCCCAGCGGTTTAAGCCATTGTATCCCTAATACTGCATCAATGCCCTTCAGTGGTATGACCATGAAATCTGCAACAAACTTAGTACCATGAATCTCCCATCCAAACCTTGCAATCTTAGCCAACACCTGAAGGTTGTAACCATCTGCTACTCTCACTTTAGCATTATTGCTTGGCAACAAGGAACAACCCAATCTTTTGCAGTGTGAGGATCCATAAAGTTATGCATGGAACCCGAATCCACTAACATAAAGAATGATTTCTTATTGTGAGTTCCCTTAACCCGCATTGTGTTATAAGTAGAAATCCCCTCTATTGCATGAGCTGAGAAGTGAGCAACTTCTCCCTCAGGCTCCTCTTAACCCTCTTCTGCATCCAAGAAAACCTCTTCCATCCCTTCATCCACGTCCTGAATAAACAACTGAGCTTTCTTGTGGGTTTTGTAGTGCTCAGGGGTATACTTCTCATCATAGAAGTAGCATAAGCCCTTAGCCCTCCTTGAACTCATCTCCTCTGTCGACAAGAAACGTCGTGGCTGAACTTGGTCACGAGTCTTCTCTTGGAAGGCGGTTTTAGTAACCTGTTGCTCTGTGTTCTTCTTGAAGGGCACATGACCTTTATTTGTTGACCTGTTTGCCACCCAAGAATTGCCAGAACTTTTGTGTGGGTGTGCTGTTTCATAGAGCTTCCCCAACATCAAGCATTGCCTTATAGATTGTGGTTCAAACATCCTTATATGCATCTGAGTGTCAAGGCGCAAACCAACCAAATAAGCGCTTACTAAATAAGTTTCTGGAAGCCTTACTCGAGTTCTGATTGCTTCAAACTTTGCATGATACTCCACAATGCCCTCCGTCTCCTGTAACTTCTTTAACTCTGAGATCGGATCCTCACAAACCTCTTCAAACCTCTCCTTCACTCGCGATCTGTATGTAGGCCAATCTAACACGTTCTCTTCATCTGCTAACATGTTTTGATGCCATTGAGCAGCCAACCCATCTAAGTGAATAGACACCGTTGAACTTTTTGAATCATCGGGTGTGTGATCCACTTTAAAGAACTGCTCCACCTTGAATAACCAGTCCTGCACTCTATCACCACAAAACCTAGAGAAATCCAACTTACCCAGTCTCCTCACCGTATTATAATGAGAAGCGTTACCAGATCGACGTCCGGTTTCAAAATCTGACGCTGAAGCAGAAGAGAAACGCGGTGTCTGCTGATGCTCCGGTGGGTATGACTGTTTCGATGCAGAGAGCATATTGATCTCTTCAAACATCTCGGATATGCCTCTCAATCTTCGCGTTCTGAGCATCGAGCTTATTTTCAATCTTCTCAAAGCGCGATTCCGTCGTTTCCTCCGTTACGGGTGCTTTCTCATCCCTCGCCGCGGCGATCTCCTGAGCGTGAGTTGCTACCACCATTTCCGAGGATTGTCTTAGCTCTGATACCTTTGATAATGATAAATTACGATCTGTTCATCAACCACTATAATCACAAAACAATCGATCAAATACTCAAAACTTCTGATTAATGAGCAAGATAACAACGAGATCCAATGTTCATAAAACAGGGGAATCTCCAGATTCACCTTGCAAGAACAACGTCCTTCACAGAGGGTGAATCAAAGGTTCTAGAGAGTTCTAGAGAATTCTGGAAAGAGGAAAAAATAAGACTTCAACAATTATTCGATAACAGAAAAGTATGAGAGTCGTCATCTTCTTTTAAACGCCAGCATTCTCGTGTTTTAATCTTGACCGTTCCTTTAACTTTGCATCACAACCGTCCACGCGTCACTTCTTCTTCTTATCCTCTTTCTATATCAGGTTTCATCTTTCAACCCTAGTTTTTTTTTTAATTCTTCTCCTCCGCTGTAAAAGTGTAAATCCTACAGTGAGAACAAGCTTGCTTACAACACAAGCCAACCATGTCCCAAGGCAATAAACGATGTTCAAGACTACGATGAAGTTGGTGATGATGATGATTGTAATGATGATATAATGATAGTGTAGATGATATCAAGACTACGCACTACAAGAAAACACAGCAACTCCTGACAGTATTTCCGACAGACAACAATCCGTCGGGAAATACCGACGGATTACCGACGAATTATTGACAGAATTCAAGCCATCGATACTCGTCTTTAATCCGTCAGTAATTTCTGACGGCATTACATCGGTCGGTAATTTGTAACGAGAACCCGACGGAGTCTTGACGGAATATATCCGTTAGTAATATCTGTCGGAAATCTGTCAGTTTATTGTTACCGTTGACAAAACCGTTTGAATTTTTTAATTTCTAACAGAATACCAACGGCGTTTTGACGGAATATATCCGTTACCTATATCCGTCGGGAAGCCGTCGATTATTTGTTACCATTAAAGTAGCCGTTAAAGTAGCCGTTTGAATTTTTTGTTTGTGACGGATATCCGACGGATGTCGTTAGAATTGTTTTATAAATATGCGTACCCACTCATTCTCAACAACACACTCATTCTAACACCTTTCTTCCATTCTCTAAAAGAAAATAACGGAAAAAAAAGATATGTCTTATTTTAGATCGTGGATGGATGAACCAATGATGGATCCAGAGTCAAACTTATTAAGAGACGAATACGCTCAAGGGATATGTGAGTTCATGGAATTAGCTTGTCAACAACCAGAAGCAAAGAAAACCCGTAAGTTGAAATGCCCATGTTCTCTTTGCGGGAATGCCCATAATATTAGGATTGATTTAGTTTGGAATCACTTGTATTGCAATGGGTTTATGACGAGTTATAAGATTTGGTTTCTTCATGGGGAACGACCGGATTATGCTAGTACTAGCGAACCATATATTGTGGATAGCGTAGAAGAACGTAGAACGGAAGTAGATTTTGGTGTAGGTACTGTTCAGATGGTTAATGATGCCTATAGAGAAAATATGCAGTCGACTGGTGCAGATGAAGATAGAATAGAGGAAACTAACTTAGAAGCCCAAAGGTTTTTCGGAATGTTAGACGCAGCTAAACAACCTCTATACAAAGGCTGTAGAGATGGTCATTCGCCTTTATCATCTGCAAGTAGATTAATGACGATAAAGACAGACTACAATTTGGCTAAGGATTGTGTGGATGCGATAGCAGATTTTGTGAAAGACATTTTGCCTGAAGATAATTTTTCACCAGCTTCATACTACGAGGTTCAGAAACTGGTAGCTGGTCTTGGTTTACCGTATCAGATTATAGATGTGTGTGTCGACAATTGTATGATATACTGGAGAGAAGACGAAAACCGGAGAAGATTTAAATGGTGTCGCAAACCACGATTTCAAGAAACATCTGGCAGAGTTCCAATCCCATATAAGCGAATGTGGTATCTACCAATAACTGATAGGTTGAAGAGATTATACCAATCAGAACGTACGGCTGAGGCAATGAGATGGCATGCAGAGCATAGAAGAGATGGAGAGATCACGCATCCTTCAGATGCAGAAGCATGGAGACATTTTCAGTCAGTGTATCCGGATTTTGCGTACGAGCGACGTAACGTATACTTGGGATTATGTACAGACGGTTTCAACCCATTTGGGAAGCACGGAAGGCAATATTCGTTGTGGCCGGTAATCCTAACACCTTACAATCTGCCACCATCGTTGTGCATGCGCCGAGAGTTTCTATTCCTCTTAATTCTCGTTCCGGGTCCAGAGCATCCAAAGAGATCACTTGATGTCTTCTTACAGCCATTGATCTATGAGTTGAAAATGTTGTGGGAGCACGGTGTTGAAGCATATGATGTATCATATCAACAGAATTTTCAGATGAGTGCCGTACTAATGTGGACCATAAGCGATTTTCCAGCATATGGTATGTTATCTGGGTGGACAACGCATGGAAGATTATCGTGTCCGTATTGTCAAGATAACACAGATGCCTTCCAATTGAAGCACGGACGGAAGACATGTTGGTTTGATTGTCATAGAAGATTCCTACCTCCCGATCACCCTTATCGTCGCACAAGAAATTTGTTCAAGAAGAATAGCTACGTGTTTGATGATCCACCTCCAGATGTAGATAGTGCGAGTATATTGACTCAATTCAGAGATTTTGGAGCAGCGAGGACTCCTGATGTTGGTGGTAATGGGCATGATCCTGTTGATGGTGCTGGTGTAAATCACAATTGGCACAAACAGAGCATTTTTTGGGATTTGCCGTATTGGAAAGATCTTTTGTTGAGACACAATATAGATTTCATGCACACTGAGAAGAACTTCTTTGACAACATTATGAACACCGCTCTAAACGTCCCAGGGAAGACAAAAGACAATTTGAAGTCTAGATTAGACTTGCCAGATATTTGTTCTCGGCGTGAGCTTGAGGTAATGGCGAACGGGAGATGTCCAATTCCTGTCTATCGGTTAAATGCGGCTTCAAAGATGGCATTCTTCGATTGGATTACCCATGAGGTAAAGTTTCCCGATGGTTACGCATCGAATTTGCGTAATTGCGTAGATATTCGAGAAGGGAAGTTTACAGGAATGAAGAGCCATGATTGTCATGTTGTTATGCAGCGACTTCTTCCATTTGCCTTTTATAACTTCTATAAACTAATAATATTTTAATCTACATAAAACTAATATTTTAAAAATTCGATATTTTAAAACTAATATTTTTAAAATTATATATTTTAAAACATCTATAAATTAATAATATTGGGATTAAAATATTTTATTAATTTAGAATGATATTAATTTACTGAAAGTTTTGTTTTGATATTGTAAGAATATTTTTATAAAATTATGATTTAAAACATTTGATCTATATAAAACTAATATTTTTAAAATTATATATAGGTTTAATTGTATCTACTATTTTTAATATATATTAAATTTGCTTAAACATGCAGGAATTGGTGCTTTCTTTCGCGACTTATCAAAAAGACCACTTACGGTTGACGGTATCCGAAATTTGGAACAAAATATACCCATTCTTCTTTGCAATCTTGAGAAGATATTTCCACCGTCTTTTTTTGATGTTATGGAACATCTACCTATTCCTAATTTCATCACCTTAACAACTCAACGATGTAAGCTTTTCATCCATTGAACTATCTATTTCATGTTTACATCAGAATTTTGGATTTGGAATATACAAATTAGGGTTTTCTTAAGCCAGTCGTTGCATATAAATAGTCTTTACTTCGCCACTTGAAACAAATAAGTCTTTCTTCGTCTCTCTGGTCTTGTTTTATAGTTTTAGGTTTTAGCTTGTTTTCCTGAATTCAATTCGTATTTCATCGAGTTCTTAGGTTAGATGGTTAGATACTTAGAATTTTGCGTTGAAATTTGTTAGATTAGTTGTTTGTTATGTTAGATTTCGTGATTGTTAGGTTAGATTAGGTGATTTTTAGATTTTATCAATTTTTGATAATTGGGTTAAAATTAAGAAAATTTCGGACTGAGATGGGAAAAGTGTCTGCAAGTAGATGAAGTGCTAATAGATTGTGTACAGGAGTGACGAAGATCGTGTAAGTTTTCACAGTTTCACTTTATCCAAGTTAGATGAATCATTGTCATTAAGTTTTCAGTGTAAGTTTTCACGGTTTCACTTTATTTTTTAATAAATTGCCTAGATAAAACCAAATTCATACTCATTTTATCAATTTTTGATTCTCCAGTAATAATAGCTGCCACAACTCTAATTTAGATTTGTTTTTGTTTATATTGATTTGTTGAATTTCTGTATATAAAGACTTTTCTATGTCTTTTATCTCGTTTTTGAATTTTAACGAGTTTTTTGTTAAAGGATACGTTTAGGAGATTGTTGTTTAGTTTTTGATTGTATAATTGTTAATTAGAGATTTTTGGAATTATGATTTGTTACTTATATCAACTATTTTGAAGGAACTACGGAGAATTTCAACGTCATACTAACCGTTCCACTCAAAACCGAGTAGAACAAAATAATTCTCGGGCTTCGTCGCACACCCCCTCAACACATGTCTCGGAGTCTCCCACATCTGCTGCATCTCCTATAATGTCCATTGAGGATTTTGTCTCTCAACCCGGACGAGAACGACTCCGCCGTCTCCATCCTCTCTACATCGACAATTCTACATGGTAAGTATAACACATATATTTCATTAGCAATTTTAACTTTTCTTCTCAATTTTTAATGTTGGCTAAAACTTTTGTAGGTTCGAGGAATCGGGAAACGGTATTAGCAAATCTATGTTAAGGATGATGTATGTGTGGATGTCGGATTCACACACTCAAGTATTCTATTAGGTGGGAAAGATTATTCTTGAGGGACAAAAGATGAATATGTTAAAACTTATAAATTGATACGAAAATTGCTATAGTATTTCTCTCTTGAGAGGAAGATCCCCTTTACATGGCCATTGGCCTCTATATTTATACATAAATAAACGACATTAAAATGAGTAATTAAGCACAATTATTTCTTCTTAAATGTGTCCGTTTTGATTCTTCGGCTTTAATGCTCAACGTTTAAATTTGAGTTGACTCTGATCTTCATGGGCCTCGCCTTTTTGGCCCAAGTGTCCCTGAACCGACTTACCCGTGTCTTCTACACCGAACTCGTATCACAGTGCAGTCACTTCGGATTCTCGAAGTGGTGACAACCACTTCGACCGTCCCCTCGGTTCACGGGTCCAATGGGCATCATCCTTTATGGGCCACCCGCTTGACTACGTGGCAATCTTTGGTTGGTCTCGTACTTCTGGTGCGGGATCCGACACCAACAATTAGCCCCCCAAGTTCTTCGAAGTGCTATTCCAATTCGGAGGACTTTAAATGCTCAAGTGGCCAAAGATTGCGCTCGAGAATCTTTCTGATTTCCCGCCGAAAATCTCATCACTCCTTTAATTTCGGCACTAGCCATTTTTAACCGAGTGACATCTGTCATCATTATGACC